CCAAAGCTTGTCACAGTTAAGGATACAACTATAAAAGTGACTCCCATTAAAGATGGTACACCTGAAAATGATGCAAAAACTAAAGAATATGTCACAGAGCATGAAACATTTGTTGAGGAAATTGAATCATCAGAGAACGAATCAGTATCTCCACAAGAACAACAGGTACATACCAAACGTCAAGAGATTATAGTTGAACAAGACCAGTTAAAGGTCAGCACAGTTAAAGATAAAACGTTCAAAGTTACTCCTCTGAAAGAAATAAAAACAACACAGGAAAAGATTGAAAGAAAGGTTTTAGTTACACCTTTAATGGAGGACACTTCTGAAGAATTGGAAGAAGCTCCAGAAAAGCTTGAAAGTGCAGCAGTGGATGAGGAAATTCATGTGTCATATGGTGTTCCACCAAAGATAAATAAATTACAGAAGTTACCAAAGACTGAAGATAAAATAGATGAAAAACTTCAGTCAGTGGTTCTTCCAATTAAACATAAAAAAGGGCAAACACCTCTGACTGAAGAGAAGAAAACAAACCAGGAACATGAGCCATTGCTGAGAGTAGATGCTGCCAAGGAAACTAGGCCTGAAGAAAAAGTCAAAGGTGATACATCAGAACGAAAGTCGAAGAAGTTTACAGTTGAAGAAGTCCAGTCCAGGACAGTCGCAGTTACAAATGAATACGGTAGTGTGACACCTTTTGAAGCAACAAAAATCAAACAAGAACAAGTTGAAAGAATGAATTCAGTGGTACCTGTGATGGAGGACACAGTTGAACAACCTTTAACAACAAAAGATAAACATGCTAAAACAGATATTCCACAACACCTGACCTCAGCAGATGATGTGGTTAAAGATATTACTTCAAGAAAAGAAAAAGAGATTATACCAGAAGAAAGCAGGGACAACTTAGTCCCAGTTAGAAGTAAAACAGGAAAAAAAGTGTTTCCAATTGAAAAGAAAACCCTCAAAAGACAGGAACAAATTCACAGCACAGCTGCAGAGGCAGAACCCGAAGTACCATATGCAAAGTTTTTGGCAGAGTATGATCCAGAAAAATATGCTGGAACTGAAATAACTGTTAAACACAAGGAAACAGAAAAGGGGGACGTCATTCACTTTGAAGACAAAACAGCCAAACTTGCTCTTCTTAAAAAGAAGAAAACTGAAGAGATCCAGTCCAAGTCAGTTACAGTTAAACATGAATATGGTTGTGTTACTCTATTTGAAGTAACAGAAATTAAACAGGAACAAGTTAAAAGAACATTGCAAGAGTTTGCATCTGAAAAATCTCAAAAAGTAATAGATCAAAATGTTATGTCAGATACTTCCAAACATATCACAGTTGAACAAGCCAAGACCAAGGAAGACATAGGTAAATATAAACCAGAGAAAATTGAAGTTGAAAGAAAGGTTTCAGGTACAGCTAAGCCAGAAGTATTACATGAACACACATCAGAAAAACTTATTGTAATAGACAAAACCTCCACAGTTCTTCCAGTCAAAGAAAAGAAAACCAGACGGACACAAATAGAAACAGTAGTTTCTCCTGTAATGGAGGTAACAAAAACTGACATAATTAGAGAAAAAGATGCCCTCAAGATGAGTGATGAATCAGAAAACAAAGAAGCAACCCAAACAGTTGAAGGGCAGATGTTTGACAAAACATCATTTATTATAACTGGAGATATCCAGAAAAAGAAATCAAAATCACTAAAAGAGAAAGGACACACTTTGGATAAAAGTACAAAAACATCCTTTGAAGAAGTGCAGTCTATGACAGTCGTAGTAAAAGATGAATATGGGAGTGTTACTCCATTTGAAGTAGCAGAAACAAAACAGGAACAAATTGAGAGAAAGTTTTCAGTGGCACCTGTGATGGAGGTTGCATCTGAAAGATCTCTGATAGTCAAAGATGGAGATATTAAATTAGACACTCTCCAAAGGTATATCACACCTGATGAGCTAGTAAAAGATATTGCCTCAAGAAAAGAGAATGTTTACAAGTTGGATGACATTTCTCTAAACACAAATGAATCTTTAAAAGACATTCGAGTTGAACAGGTTAAGTCAAAAGTAGACCGAGTTCAAAATGAAACAGAGAAGGTTACTCCCATTGGACAGAAATTACCTGAAAGACAGGAACAAATTCAAAGAAAGGCCTCAGTTGCATCCAAATCAGAAGTAACAAATCAACACTCTTTGGTAGATGCTTCAGAAAAACTTACAGTAATGGACAAAACCACCACAGTTCTTCCAGCTGAAGAGATGAAAACAAGACAAAAACAAACTGAAACAAAAACAGTTGTTACTCCGGTAACAGAGGTAATAGACACAGAGATGAAAGACATTCAGTCAAAGAAATCAAAAGAAAAAGGACACAGGTTGGACAAAGGTACAAAAATTCCCCTTGAAGAAGTGCAGTCCAAGACAGTTGCAGTAAAAGATGAATATGGTAGTGTTACTCCGTTTGAAGTAACAGAAACAAAACGGGAACAAATCAAGAGGAAACTTTCAGTTGCAGCAGTGATGGAAGTTGCATCTGAAAAACATTTCATAGTTAAAGACGGCAATTTGAAATCAGACACACTCCAAAGATTTATTATACCTGACAAACTTATAAAAGACATTACATCAAGGAAAGAAGACATTTATGAATCTGGGGAGGTTTCTCTTATGAGACATTTACAAAGTCCAGAGTCAGCCAAGGAAAGCATGGACATTTTAACTGAAAAACAAGAGATTACAGATAAAAATACTCAGGGAAGAGAAGTCACAAGTCAATTTAAAACTGACAAAATTACATTTGTTGATACAACACCAACAAAACAGAAACAAAGTCAACAAAAGGCACAAAGGACAGCTGTTAGTCACGAAAAGACTCAAAAAACATTGGTAGGAGAAGATGCTAAAACAGAGGTAGACCATTCACCAAGGCACGAGGAAGTTAGAAATGATAGTATGTCCTTAAAGAAACCAGACTCTCTAAAAGACCAAGGACAGGTTACAGTTGAATGCATTCAGTCTAAAACAGAAACAATTAAGGACTTTTTTCATAGTGTTACTCCAGATGTAGAAACAAAGCAGGAACAAATCGAAAGAAAGGCTTCAAGGACACCTGTAATGGATGTTGCATATGAAAAACCATTGATTGTGAAAGAACAAGATATTCGATTAGACACTCTGCATAAGTATATTTCCCCTGTCAATCTAGAAAAAGGCATTACATCAAGAAAATGGGGGGCTTACAAGTCAGAGGATATTTCTTTAAAGAAGGATGAATCCACAATAGATAACAGACAGACAGATACAGTTAGCACCATTGAAGGAACAAAAATTCAACACATCGAAAGCGAAGCTGCAGTAACGTCTGCACCTGAGGTAACATCTAAAAAATCACTTATAGGAGATGACAGAACAGAAAGATATACCAAAACAGAAACTCTCAAAGACAGAGTCACAACAAAAGAGAAAATAAGAACAATGTCAGCTGAACAAGACTTTCAAGGTCAAAAAGAACATCCAAAAACAGTCAGTGTTGAGGGCCAAGCTGCCAAACTTATTTCCGAAGAAGGAATGAAAGTAAAACAGAAACAACTTGAAAGACAACCCACAGTTACAACACAGTCATTAATTGAGCAGGGTGCTTTGGACAGACAACTGAAATGGGCTATACCCAAGGAAATTAAGACAGACATGATAGGGAAAGACAAAATTGTCAAAGAGATTCATGAAAAAGAAAAACTACAGAGAAAAGACGAACAAGAACAAATCAAAGGAAGAAGTAAAGAAATGTATCAATGCCAAGAGGTAGTTGAAGAAGTGAAGAGTTCAGAAAAATCCAAACCTGCTACAAAAGAGTCAAAAGCTGAAATAGATCGACATAGGCCCACTGCCAGAGAACCCTCAGTAACAGATAAAACCAAGCCAAAGATGATTGAGAAGACTACCCCTACTGGCTACAAAACAGACTCTCCAGAATGCGGGGAAGCTGCCACCAGGAAATGGCAGTCAGAAGTTGAGCAGTCTTTTCTGCAAGAAGATGTCCAATACATCCCTCCTCAGGAAGTTGAAACCATAAGCAGAGAGGAAGGAGAAGCTCATGGGCTTCAGTCCATCAGAGAAACGAGGATTTTGACTTTGGAACCAGAAGGGAAAGAACAGGTCTCCCCTCAAGAATCTTCCAGAGGTATATAGGGAAACCTGTTGAATGTCACTGAGCACTTTTTTTTTATCTGAGCACCAAACATCATTGTGCACTTCCTCGTTAGTATCCTCTTAAGGATTTATTAGATTCATATCTCTTTGTCGTCATCATTTCAAGAGGATATCCATGTCATATCACCCATTTGTTTGGGCACAAACTCTATTCTTTCTCATCGTGAAGAACCATCACGCTGTTGACTGAGACAGTCTCTTTTGGTTTCTTATCACCTGATATCTAAACCACCAGTTTTATGTTGTATGTCGGGTTTTTCATTGTTTTTTCTAATTCTGTCTGTTGTGTCTATTACGTTCCACTGTACCTGTGTGTGTTGAGAGAAAATGTTCTGCACAGACGGTGAGGTGAGATACTTTTGTGGAAAATTCCTCCATCTTAAAACTTAAGTCTTCAAACTTTCTATGTTTTCATCTTGAATTGTGTTTCTTGTCTTTGTTTTATTTAGTCTCTGCATGGTTCAGTGCTCACCCCATCAATCTTAGTGAGGTTCTGATTGTCATATAATTTCATTTCCAAGTTCCTGTGAAGGAGAAAGAGCCAACCCCCCAAGTCAAAGAAGCACTGGTAAAGCCAGCTGCTCCTCAAGAAGGTACCCAACTTCTCTTTAAAATGTTTCTGTGTTTATGTCTGTTTCTGTGTGAGCTTTTCTTAAGGCATTCCTAAAAGAATGTCGTTCTTGAGAAAATATAAATCTTTGAAACTTTATCCTGAAGAAACCCAACATATTACCCAATTCATTAAAAGAGAGTGCAAGTACAATGGAGAGAAAATAAATCAACAACATCATGAATATAGAATAAGAATATAAACTTTTTCTTTTGTCAAGCTCTCAGACCTAGAAAATTAGACTATTGTGTTTATGGAGAGCTTTCTGTTGAATTTTCTCTATACTTTGTACTTGAAGAGAGCAAACCGCAGGCTGCTGTTAAGGTTCAAGAAGTTGCCAAAAGGCCTGAAGTCACTGACAAAACCAAAAAGTTGGAGAAGATAATTACTCCACAAGAAGAAACAAAGCCAGGTATCCAGGCAATAACTGTTAAAGAATTCACATCGACACCTTGTGCGTTGTTAGACAGTATGTTTTGGTTATAGTTTACAATACTTCAATTCCCTCTTTTTTATGCTTGAAGTGACCAAGCCACAGCCTGTCATGAAGGCTGAAGAACCAGCCAAGATGGTTGTGGAAGAAGAAAAAACTATCGTAGAAAAGATATCTCCTGAGACAGGTAGAGGTATCTGAAGGAATGAGGACATTTCTTTAGTCCTTTCCATCTTTTTCACATCTTATTTCATCATTGCAATGTTGACTCTGTAACCACCTACTTGTGTGTTTTCACTGTTTTTGTTGATTATGTTGACAGTCTGTCTTATCTGAGTCGGTATGACATTAAGCAACAGTACAGTCCCTTGCTGTTGAGTTGAATTGTTGGTCTTTCCATGTTGTGTGTCGTGTTGTTGGTCATTAATTAATTGATCTTGAATCCAACAACTACATGAAAAAGATGCATGCTACATCTGTCTTTGTACACAACTTAATTCAAGCTCTTTATCTCTTCTTATGATATTGTTTCAACTAAATCATGTGATACTGGGCTACTTTGCTCTGCATCTCAGTCACAACTTTTTTGTCATCCACATTCTGTAAAATAATATTTATTATTTCTGAATGTGTTTGATGACAAATTATCACTATAATTATTATGACTTAAATGGCCTTAACAACTTTCTGAAATATACTTCTGTATTAGATGAAACCAAGGGACCTGTCCAAGCACCAGGAGGAGTCAAGAAAGGTAGGAGCCCGGTTTACTACTCTCTTTACCTCAGTATACAGAATACACACCCAACATGCAGCTATAAAAGTATGCTTCTGCTACAGCACCCAATAGTACCCCTACATAAAAAAAATAGGTAATGGTTAAATTTTAAAAGATAACTTAGAGATGTTGGGACACTAAAGAGCACTTAAAAGGAGGCAGTTGAGCACTAATTAGCCCTGATTGGCTTATTTTATACATGTTTTTTAGTAGTGTCCTGTGGAAGTGGCCTTTTCTTGTGTCTGAGTCTTGTTTCCTCCTCTGTGTCTTTTGTTTTTGTTTTGTTGTCATGTAATCTTTTTTTAAGTTCGACTTATATCAAAATAAGTGGGGAAGGGATAGGGTAGTTTTAATTTTTATTTTCCTTCTTATTTTCTTAAGTGTTAAGCATGTGTTTGTGTTTGTACAAATTGTGCTGTCAGTTAAGTGTCAATAAGTAATGTAAAATATTTGCTGCCTCAGAAACGGTTCTGCACAAAAAAGGTAAAATTCAGTTTGAAGAGGATGGAACATTTGAGATTCCCACTTTGAGGAAAACAACCAGAGTCATTAAGGAAGTAGAAGAAGAGCAGGAGATTATCAAGCTGAAGAAGATTCCAACTGTTTCACCCCAAGAGGCTGAAGACGAGAAAAAACCTCAGAAGGTCACCAAGACCACAATCTTCGATGTTGAGGAGATGGTGCATAAAGAAGAGGCTCTTGAGATGTCATTCGCCACCAGGAGACCTGTAGAGGAGAAGAAATCTCGTGAGAAAGCAGATGTGGTGAAAAAGCCAGAAGTTGTGAAGCCTAAAGAAGATGATAAGAAAGAGGCTCATAAAGATGCATGGACCCGCCAGAAACCCATTCCAAAGGATGAGAAACCAGATGATAAGATTTCTCTGAAGAAAACTACCAAGGCACCAAAGGAGGAGGAACCAGCCCCATCTAGTGGGGCATTGAAGAAAGTGAAAACATTGCCCTCAGATGAAGTAGAAGCAGAAATAGTCAAACTAAAACCATTTGAAAAGCCTGTTAAACCAGCTGACGAACCAGAGAAAGATAAGAAGGAGAGGCCAGACAGGGACACTGTGCCTTTCCAGAAGGGAGAGAGGATCCCAAGAGAAGTGGAAACCAAAGAACTTCCCAAGAAACCTGAGAAAGCTCCCACTGAGGTTAAGGAGCCACCAGCCAAGGTGCCAAAGCCAGTAGATAAAAAGAAAACTCCAGAAAAAGAGCCTGAGGAGATCAAACCACCCACCAAGGTGAAGAAAATCCCAACACAGGAACAAGAGATAGAAAGCGTCAAGCTGAAGCCCTTCTCCAGGCCTTCCAAAGAGGCTGCAGAGCCTGAAAAGAAACCAGTAGAGGAGAAAGAGAAAAAGCCAACCGATGACCTGAACCGTCGTCGCACAAGTCCAGATGAAAAACCAAAGGAACAAGAGCCAGAGGCTAAACCGAAGAAACCTGAGATCCTACAACCTCCAGAGAAGAAGCCAGAGAAGCTGAAGGAGGTAGAGGCAGTTCCAGCAGAAAAGACTGTGTCTCCTGTGCCCGCTTCTGTTAAAAAACCTGAAAAGGTTCCTGAGGAGCCCATACCTCTGCAAGTGAAGAAGGGAGTCATACCAAAGGCAAAAGAAGAGAAGGAAGAAGTGGCTCTGAAGCCTGTGGAGCAGCTCAAGAAGGTTGAGCTAAAAAAGACACCATCTCCTAAAGTTGAGAAGCTTAAAGAAGCAGAGGCAGTCCCTGTTGAGAAGAGGCCGAGTGTTGATAGACTTCAAAAGATTCCTAAAACTGTTTCACCGAAAGAGTCTATCGAAGCTGTGACTCTTAAAAAAGTCCCAAGGAAGCCATCACCAGAGGAGGAGAAGGCTGCAGAACCAGCAAAACCTGGTAAAGGGAAGGTTCCCTTGGTGAAAGAGATTTCTCCTGGAGCTGTGCAGATGAAAAAGGTTGCCACCCAGCCGGAAGAGGAGATATTTGAAGAAGAGTTTCAAGCTGAGGAAGAGGCGGAGCAGGAGGAAGATGAGGCCTGGGGCTGGGAGCTGGTTCCCCGGGACAGTTATGGCTCTGAGGACTGGGAAGGTGAAGGAGAGGAAGGTGCTCTGGAGGTTCCAGGGATAGCCAGGAGAGGTGAGATGGTGGCGGCCACAGCTAAGTGGGTGACGACTGAGAAAACTTTTTCTTCATCCTCTGAATAATCTCTACCCATTCCCACCATCATGCCTCCATGTAAATCATCTTTACCTCATCATATCTTAAGTGTGAAGCAATTTACGCCATCTCTTTCTTGTATTTATGTTATGTTATCATTCTGTGTGTCTGGTCATATTCATTCCTTCCTGTTATTTCTGTTTTGTCACTTGTGTTTCCCATTTCAATATCAGGTAATTTCCATCAGTCCAACATCTGTTTTCTCTACTCATGCCATCTTTACATTTCTGTTCATTATTCCATCTCTTCATGGTGTGAAAGCTACATTACTGTAAAGTTGTAATTATACATTATTCATCATTCTGTGTAATGTCTGCCTTCATTTCAATGCCATTATTTCATATATTTACTGTCACTTCATATTCATACGTCACATAGCTCCTGGCACTGGCATGTTTATGAAGACATTGACATATGACTACATTGTGTGCAGCAAATTTATTTTAATTGTTTCCGAACAGAGGGACAACCAGCAGAAGAAGCAGGAAGAGGTAGAGGTAGAGGGCTGAAACGTAAGTCTGTTGTCTTAATAAAGCTATGAACTGTGCCTTTGAATACTAAGCAAAAAAACCCTATTACGTTCTGCATCTTGCGTGGTGATACCACAGAATTAGTCTTGAAATGCAAATGTGAATAGATTGTCTTCAATTTCTATTAAAGCCAAGCAGACCCCGTCCCCTGGTGAAGGCAGGGGCCGTGGCCTAAAGCCCGGTGGAAGAGGTCCAACACCACCAGAAGAACCGTTTGCAGGATTCAAGCTCAAAGCTGTCCCTCTGAAGTTCATCAAGAAGCTTCAAGACATAGTGTTAAAGGAAGCCGAGTCTATTGGCTCATCTGCTGTGTTTGAGTGTGAGATCTCACCTTCCACTGCTATTACTTCATGGATGAAAGATGGCAGTAACCTGCGCGAGAGCCCCAAGCACAAGTTCACTTCTGATGGCAAAGATCGCAAGTTGAACATTATTGACGTCCAGCTGTCTGACACTGGTGAATATACCTGTGTGGCGAAGAACGCTGGCAAGGAAATATCATGCACAGCCAAGCTCATTGTTGAAGGTATTTATATTTTTTTTCCGCTTTAGAAATAAACAAAAAATACATGGTGTCCTGAAGACCAGAAATCATACTTTTTATGATCCTGTTTAACCATTTGCCTATATCAAATTGATGAAAGTATTTTTATCTCCTCATAGAGCTACCTGTGAAATGGATCAAAGAATTGGAGGAGGAGACTTCAGCTCTAAAGGGTCAGCCAGTGTATATGACCTGTGAGTTGAACAAAGAGAGAGATGTGGTATGGAAAAAGAATGGCGAGGTCCTGAAGAAACAGGCCGGCAAGGTTCAGATCAATATCATTGGTATGCAACACGCTGTGACCATCCAGAATTCCAATGAGGCGGATACTGGGATCTACTCATGCGAAGTGGCTGGCCAGGAGGATGTCAAGACTTCCACAAATGTCAAAGTGATTGGTAAGCAAAAGAGAAACACGGAAACATACGTCAATACTGGTGCTTTATAAGAAGTTATACTGCAACAGATGGGCAAGACAGGGCAAGAGTGGAATTCATAGTACCTGGGAGCTTTGTTTGTCCCATTCTTATTTCAAATTATCATGAAACATGTAATTCAGAAACATTATCACTTTTTATTTATATGCTGATGACATTGTACATTGTGATGTCTAGTTTAAGACTAGATGTCACTTAACCCTTTAGGCGCCAGGT